GGGGGATGTCTTTAGTTAAATAGCAGAATATGGTTCCGTCAAATAGTAAAACACCAAAATGCTGCAGAAATGCACAAAGGAGCATGTTGAATTAGTTACTCCACAGCAACAGGTTGAGCTTTGCTCATCTATAAAACTGCATTTAATTCAAGACCAGCTGTAGTCAATTATATCTCTGCACACATTTAAGAAACTGGCAAACTTCCTGAAATGCTAAGTTGGTCATCTGCATTTATTTCATGTCATCGGGGAAAATGGAAAATTGCTGGGAATCTGTGGGTAGGACAACATGAGTTTTCTGACAACTTCCCCATCAACCTGCAAACTTGAAGGAACTAGGGGAAATCGGAAGGAAGTGGAGGAGCACAGCTAAAGTACTTGGATCCTGTTTAGGATCCATTCAGCATATTCATATTCCACTGATGTTAATTAGCATTTGTATGCATCACTTAACACTGAAGGCAATCAATAATGAAGATAAACATAGTATGCCTTCTTTGGATGTTTATGATAATGCAAAACTTCACACACCTGTTTAAAATTGGAACTTGCAACAAACTAACACACTTCAAGAAAACCTGTTTGCCTGGTGCCCTTGTTGCAATCTTTTTGGCACCAGTCGAAAACAACTTGACTTTCTAGACATTTTAATAACTGATTTTATCTGGATAATATTAGTAACTTTGTTGTTATAATCTATATGGTTTTAAATTATTATTCCTCAGCTATGTACTGTTTTATTTTCTTTTGTTTATTGTATTTTGATTGCTTTTATTGTCATGATGTGTTTTTATCCATTGTAATGTGCTTAGAGGGCCCTCAGGCCAATATAGCAGAATATAAGTTTAATAAATAAATATAAATAGATAAAACTGCTATGTAAGACATGGAATTCTAGTCTGGTCCGTGATGTTATGAGAGTGTAGTTCCTAGTAAAATGTACTGAACTAAAGACACTGCCTTTCTTTTACTAGAGTGTAGCATTTAAGGCTGCAAGCGCAAAGGTTAAACACTGCACTAACATTTTTAAAAAATTACCCACAGAATTACTAGTGTATGCAGGTTGTGCGTCTTTTCATTCTTAAGTCCATACTACCCTGTATATGTATTTTAAAATAATTGGGGTTATTCTTTTTAAAATAATTAGATTATTATTTCCCACAACAGTCCCTAAGGAATAAATGATCCGCCTGCTTTAACTCAGAGAACTTATGTTCTTGCAAATAGTACGATTCATGTAAATAGCTGGTATGGAACACAAAAAATGCGGAAGTATGTGCAGCGTATTTTGAGGATGGAGCCCGATAGCCGTTTAAATTGGGGTGGTCCAACCTGTGGGCTGCATGTGACCCCGAGGCCTTGTTCTGCGGCTCTCTTGCTGCTCAGAGCCCCCCATTCCCCCCTCCCCAGTTTGGATCTCAGCAATGGCACAGGCATGATTGTGGTGAGCCCTCCCGAGGCTGCTGTCCCGTCCTTCCCGCTTCCTGAGGCTCAGGAAGAGAGTGGTCCCAGGCCAGTCCAGGTGCTGTGGCAGAAGCAGGCCGGCCATGCCTGGGAGAGTTTGTCCGCTCAGGTACAAAAGCCTCAGTGTGTCAGTCCAAGAAGGAAGGCAGGGCAGGGGCGGGTCACAGAGGAGGGTTTCTGGGTGGGAAAAACAGGGAAGGAAGGAAGGAACGGATGGGCCACCGCAGAGGAGCAATCGTTGTGCTTGGGCAGTGGCTGGAGAAGAAACAGCGCAGCCCCGGGGCCCCATGTCCAAGTCTTCATGTGGCCCTGGAGGAATGAAAAGTTGGACCGCCCTGTTTGAAAAGAATCCTTTCCCAGCTTCTCTTTGGGCCACATTTGCAGTGTGGTTAGCAGAAGAAAATGAGGAATTATCTTAGCCACAATAGTGTCAGGCCTATGTGCAGACCTGATAATCTTCAGGTGGAGTTTAATTAAGTTTGTATACAGTAAGCAGCATTTGTCCTTGCCTTTACACTAAAACTTTACTGATATAGAATGTTAGCTGTGACACAAGGAAAATATAGGAGGCAAAGGTCTGCAGCACACACATTGTTTAAGGCACGATCTTTTCTTAAAGTGCATATGAGGAGCGAGAAGGGGGGAAGAAGTTATAGTGAAGCTTCATCTAGCCCTGAGACCTGCTTTGGAATATCCCTTCCTTCTGCTTTAAGAAAAATGATCCATGCCTGCAGAGAAGCTCACAAGTGCTCCTGACTAATAAATACTGCAAACAAAATGGCCTACTGAGAAACATATTGAACAAAAGGTAATATTGACAAAGATGACTAAGGTGGAGAAAGAAGGGAGGGCAGTATTAAGAACGGTGTTGCGACCTTTTCCGAAAGAAATGTCCAATTTATTGTCAACAGTCCTTCTCTAAAGTGGAAGAAACCTATGCAAGCAAAGGAATAATTTTGCCCTGCATGCAGTAAACAAATTGCATTCACCTTTCTCTGCCTCCTCACTTTCACCTTTTTACTGCCTGCGATAAGTACCAGCCAAAGCACTTACTCATCCTAACTGCCTGAGAATGAATTACAACCAGGTGTGTAAGTGGATGAGTGGCCTGCAAGCCTGCCACCTCCCTTAATGCGCAGTTACCTGTCTTTGAGTGAGCATCAAGGTCACTCATTGCCAGCTAGAAACAAAAGTGGACTGGAAAATTCTACTAGTTTCATGCAGCCTATTTATCCACTACAATGAAGGCAGAAGGACATATTTCAGCAACTGTTGTAGGACATAACCTTTCCATTTTTGCAACCCTGAAAGACATTCGTATCAGAAAATTATAAACCAAGGAAATGATTCGCCTTTTCACTGACTTCTTGTTTCATTATATTAGAAGTCTAACTGCCTATTAGTGAAACCTCAATAGAAGTATCTCATGAAGGTAGTGCTTGTGTTTGCGTTGCTCCCATTTGGTTCCTCCTGCTAGCATGGGGAGCTAAAATACCCAGAAATAGAAAGCTTGCCACGAAATCTCAGACCAGGATCCTAGTTTGCTGTGCTAGGGCTACAGACCAGGGTTTGTTCTTGACTTAAGAAACTTAGATTGCTCCAGGAGCTACAAACCAGGATCTGGGGTTTGGACATCATGGTAAAACTATGTTTTCTGTTTAGTTTAGCATTTAATGGGAGGAGCCTAATGGAAGTGATCTGGCTAAAAATACCAGCACGCAGCTTGTTCATAGGAAACCGGCATTTGCCAGTATTCTGACTTACCTTCTTCTGAAAGCATAGCCAATGCAGTGTGGGATTCCTTGCAGTTTAAGAAACTAAAGCTGCAATCAGTGTACACATAAAAAAACTGTTTTTAATCTTTGCAGCCTCTCTAATAAAAACTGTAACATGTTTTCTCAGTCATTCAATATCCATGGATAAAAATGAATGCATACTTCACCCTTTAATGATTACTTTATGAAGACATCCT